TGCCTAAATGGAATGATGCCAAGATTCAGATAAGGTTCTGAAGAAAAGAATTCCTGTATAAAAAGCTGACCAAAAAAAAAAAAAAAATCTCTTGCTCAAAGGTCTCCCCGTTGCCCCTAGAAACAGTGTCTGTTGCGTTCCACTTGAGTGGAATATCCAAGGTTTCTAGAAAATTTATCTATGCCTTTACAGTGCCAGTTGGCTCTTACGCAATCCGGGTCAGTCTTAATTCCTAGAATTTCTAGTTAGTGCAACAATGCTGCTAGCAGTTCAGGGCAGGGCAAAATTCAGAAGAGAAGATTTTAACAGGATGTTCTGAGTAAGGAAATGAGAACTGAACATTTTTTGTGGCACCGTGATTGGTGAGAAGCTCAGCCACTGAGTCCTGAGTGCCCAGAGCCTCCCTGAACGAGCTGCAGGTGGCTGGGGTCAGAGGGAGTCTGGGGGACGGCACTCTTCTAGAACTACAGGCCCGAGTCCACTTTGGGCACGGAAGGCACGGAACCCGTGGGGAATATACTTCCTTCTCCGCTGAAGGAGGTGGCTTAGCAGGAGGCCAGTGCAACGTGCCTGCGTAGAGAGCATGTTAGAAAGTGGGTCCCGATGCAGGAAATCTGAGGGGGGAGCCTGCATTCCTGAGTAGTGCCCAGGTGACACGGGCGATGCGCCCATGCCCGCGCCGGGGGTGCCTAGGGTCCAGAACAGGATGGCAGCGTTCCAAGCGCAGACTAATCACATCTTAGATGTTATGTGTAACGCAGGAGGGGGGAGCCCCAGCAATCTATCAGCCCCCTTCCCATACCCCTGCCCCACCCACCCTGTGAGGTGGGCCCAGTACAGCCCCAGGGAAAGGGCCCGACTAGGCTAGGCCTCTCCATGAGCTGACCCAGCCTCTCTGACTCTTCCTTCCACAGCTCCTCTTCTCCATGATACTCACCATAATTTAAAGTATGCAGGTTCCCTTGCTTGTTCACTGAATTTTCTTGTCAGCTGGTGCACATTGTCTATTCCCCACTCTACACCCCACTGCCCAGCACCGTGCTTGGCCCAAAGTAAGCATTCGGTGAAGAACAAGGGAAGGAACGAATGAGTGAATTTAAAGTGTCTCCAGGCCCCCTCCTACGGCCACGTTTGCGAGGAACTGGGGAGGCAGGAGCTCGCTCACTGCTGCAGTTGAGGGAGAGTCTTTCCTGGACCCCTCCCAGCCAGAAGCGCATGGCGTGGGCCCCTGCATGGTTCCGGAGCCCGTGAGGGAGCGGTTCCTGTGTGAGGGCGAGGACACGTGAATGCGTGCGTGTCAGATTCAGGCATTCTCAAGGGCGTGGAGGCCCTTCCCAGCATGCGTGGGTCTTCTCCACAATTGGTCCCATCGCGAGTCCCGCTCCGCCCTGGGATGAAGGACATCCAGACAAGCTCCGTTGACTGGTGTGGCGTGCTCCGTGACAGCGGACACTTTGCACACCCGAGCAGCATCTCCACCATGCACGTCGGGACGGCATGTTCAGTTATAGGCATGGCTGCAGGAGACCGTAAGGAGGGAGGGTAGGGGGCAGGAAGATTGCTCTACAGAGTGGAGCCCATGGGAATTCAGACTTGACATGAGAACTCACCTGATGCTCCCCTAGAACCTTGGAGCCACAGATGGAAAGCATGCCCTCCTAGGAACACCGAGGTTGAAAGCCTAGACCCAGGCCAACCTGTCATCTTCAAGGGTGGTGGGCGGACTCTTGAGTTGGGTATGCGGTGGGAAACTGGCCATCTTTACCAGGGAGGTGACGAGAAGGATCGTGATTTGTCTCTGAGTTGCAGTGAGCAGTTGAATCAAGGTGGGGAGCCAAGGGCTCGGAGCATGGCCGGCTGCTGGGGGGAACCCTTAGTGCTCTTCCATTCAGGGACCCAGACAGGGACCCACACAGCAGTTCACAGACTCTTCATGCAGGGTCCTCAGGAGGGCATTCGTATCTGAGAATGTTCCAGAGCCCACAGCTCATCAGGGAATACCGAGGCTCAGGTCTGAGACTTGTTTAGTCTCTAAGAGATGTCTGGAACTCACCCTCTGCCCTAATAAATACTGTTCTCATCCTGGAGTCTGACATTCCAACTCATGGTGCTCAGAGCTCTTAGATCCCGGGATTCATAAGGATTCCTCTTAGGATGTGCAAGATGCAAGGTGCCCATGGGAAAATACACTCACACACCCCACACCACATCACTCACACACACACATCACATCACACAGACAGGCACACAGGGCTGGAATCTCCATGATGGGAATTGGCTGTGGCTTGTACGAGGCCACCTGCCTCCCGATGACCTATTCCTCACCTCCTGAGACACGGTACCTGAGCCATGGCACATGGCTGAGGAAGTGTCAGGATTGGGGGCGATCACACCTACAAATCCCAGCTCCAAGAGCAAAACAGCGCTATTGAATTTCAAGCAGATTATGAAGAATGCATTTCTATACTAAGTCCCATGTACATCCTAAGCCTAGGACAGAAAGTCTGTTAGATCCATTTAAAACCTTTAAAATCATTTCAACCATTGATTTATATCCAGGGATTTGGCAAGTGGCTTTAAAATCAAAATTAAAAATAGCCTCTGAAATACCAGATGGAGAATGTGCGTTTATGCTTCACCCTTTAGACCGAGGAGTCCCTCTACCCCATCCAGACAACTGGCAAATGAGTTACTGTGTGAACCAGGGACACTGCCAAGCCACCTACTCGCGTCCCAGTCGTACGTAATACAGAGTATAAATGTGGCGGCCCCTCTAAACGTCTCCCTTTGGCGTTCAGGGTAATCCATAAAACCGATGGCTTAGCATGGAGCCGGACTTGTAAAAGCCAAATATTCAAAATTGTGGGATTTTAAAATGAGCCCCACTATAGATAAACGTTGAAGCCATAAAAAAAATGGCAAATACCTAGAAACATATTTTGAAGGCCTGGAAGGATTTTAAATGTGTTTACTTTTATACTGTGAACTCAGGCTGTCTCAGAGGAAGATAACCAAGAGACCCAAAAGACTTCGAGGTGTTGGCTTGAGATTCTCAGATTTGTTTGAATTCTTCAGAGCAGTGACTGGTGCACCAGAGACTGAGGAGGTAAAGGGCCATTGGAGGGACACAGGGTCCCTCTCGTAGAAAGTTGTTAGCCCAGGAAAGGAATTTGTCATGTCTACAGAAAGAACATTGAGTAGTTATTGTGATCTTAGGTAAACTCCGGCCAGATGGTTTGGAGTCAGAGTTCACTTGTGTGCCCGTCCGAGGCTGCATGTCCAGGAAGGCTGTCACAGACAAGAAGGTGTCACAGAGGTGGCCAGGCAATACCGTGTCCCTTTCCACATGAGCATCGGTACCAAGCCAAGAACGGGGAAGATTCCGGCTGATGTGCTGGCACAAGAAACAGACAGAAAGCTTAACAGGAGTTCCCAGGTGACCATCCTGTTTAGTCCCTAAGACCTAACTTAGAAGAAATGGAACAGATGTGGCAAAATGCACTTGTGCGTCAAGTTGGAATGGTCTGTTTTCTGGGGAGTGTTGCTTGCATGGTAAAGTCCGGCTCGGCACACACCAGAAGCCAACGGCATCCAGGGTCCCCGGAGTATCAGTGCCTGCCAGCAGGGGGTGCGGCCCGGGGTGACGCGCCAGACACGGACTCCCGTGCTCCCTGCCGCTGTAACTCACGTGTCCTGTGGATGGGGGAGGCGGGGCTCATCAGGAAGGGGAGAGAAGAGGTCAATCTGATTGTCACTTCCTACTCAAAATGCTTAGTACTGTCAACGGTCTGAAAAGAAGAGCTCAGACAGAGTCCAGAGTCCAAGTCCATCTTTTACCTGAAATACTGAGATCAAAGCCTGCAATCCCATCGGGATTGTCCAGGCCCAGAACCCCCTGACTTATTCACTGTCTTCACTGAGGTGCTCTATCTCGGCACCTGACAAAAAGTCTGCTTCATAAATCCTTGCAAAACCCTCTTCCGTCCATCCCCTCCTCCCCCCTGCAGACCAACGTGTCTCACAGAGTGAAGGGACGGGGTGTCCCCTGCTGGTGCCACCGAGGACGTCCAGAACCTCAGTGGCAGAGGTGAGGGTTTGCACCACCTGACGGGCGCGTTTGTGAGGACCTCCTCCCCGTGGGAAGCCCCTCTCCCTTCACTGCAGTGGCGCCCGTGGTGTGAGATGGGGACCCAGCGTTGAACGTAGCGCGATCCTGCCCACCGTGAACAGCCCCTCCTCTGGGAGGCACCCCCCACATCTCCCAGAGAACAGGGCCGCCTCCTGTGTGCCTGGAGCGCCTCCTTCCCTCTGAAGTACCTAACAGAGTGTCCTCACGGGCTCGCTTCACGTGGATCCCTGCGCTCAGGGAGCGTTCTCCCTGACGTTGCAGACCCAGGACAAGTTTGGCATCTGGCAGTTATCACCTTTAAAAGGCGGTAGTGACCATAGAAGGCACAGCACCAAGAGGGACCCGAATGTAAATTCTGGAGTCTGGGCAACGACGACTCGTTGCCGTAGGCTCATGGATTGTGACAAACGTGCCTCTCTGCGGGGGAAGGTTGATAGTTGGGAGAATGCGATGTGTGGGGGGAAGGGAGTGGACGGGAAATCTCTGTACTTTTTGCTGTGGGCCTACACCTGCTCTAAAAATTGACGTCTCTTTGCTTGTTTTTATTTTTTTAAGTTTATTTATAATTAGAGAGTATGGGGAGGTGAGGCAGAGAGAGAGAGAGAGAGAGAGAGAATCCCAAGCAGGCTCTGCGATGTCAGCGCAGAGCCAGACGTGGGGCTCGAGCTCATGGACTGTGAGATCACAGCCTGAGCTAAGACCAAGAGTCAGACGCTCAGTGGCCTGAGCCCCCCAGGCGCCCCAAAGTCTGTTTGTTCTGAATGAAGAGCTAGCGGCCGGGGCTGGACCCCCTCGCAGCAGATGGTGTTGTGACACCTGCTGGTAACGGATGGCATTGGGCTAATGTTTTCTTTGTGCTGTTTTTTTGCAGGGTGTGAAGAAGTTCGACGTGCCCTGTGGCGGCAGAGACTGTAGTGGAGGCTGCCAGTGCTTCCCCGAGAAAGGAGGGCGGGTAAGTCACAGCGTCGCCACCAACCACTCTTCCTGACACTCATGCCTAAACCGAGCGCCTTCAGTCACCTGATTAAGGCACCTGCATGCTCTGCTGAGAAATTTAACCCAGGTGTGTTGTCCCACGCTGGGATAGGCAATAACATGGGGCAATGTCTGCTCGCTTTATACCACTCTCCAAACGGATTGAGAACACAGATAACTTCCTTCCACACCTTTTTCTCTTGTCGGTTGTTACGAATCGTGTCTTATGCCTGTGAGATTATGCATAAACATGTATACTACGTGGAGCAAACGTGGCTCTGTCTACACCCCTCCCGGTATACATGTTCTCATGTTCTAGAGGACGCAAGCATCCTCCATGGAGAGTCAGTCTCTCTTTTAAAATTATTCTGCTCACTCCTGAACATCCTTCCTGTATCGTATTTCATCAGGTAAGTCCGAGAAAAGAGGTCGCCCCGCACCAGAACCTGGAATGTGGACTGATATGGGTTCCTTACGTGCAGTCGAAGGGACCGGCTTTCCCGATGCCATTAAAGCAGATGTTGGGTCCTGGCATTACTGATTTTGAGAAGAGATTGTTTGTATTTATCTGTGTAAGCCCGTGTTCGCGTGGGGAGCATATTTCGTTTTGGGCCACAGTGTTTTGACGTTTCACACATTGGGATCGCGTTTCCCCGTGGGGGCCCTGCTCGTGATCCTCTGCCAGGGGCCAGGGCCTGAGAGGTGGCTGGGACGCATTGCCTGTGTTCCCGTCACCACTGAATCAGCGCCCCTCGCTGGAGCTGGGCGGGGCCAGTTGGCGGCCGGCTGGGCGCTGCACCCTTCCCACCCGAGTCCCCTCCACTAGTCAAACGTGTAAAATTTGTGACTGATAACGAACCTCTTTACAAACATGGTGGTCTCGGTAACGTGTGACCGACTAACCGTCGTTTCAGTGCCGCAGACCACCGCGGAGGGGGCTTCTTGCCACCCGCCCAGAGCTTCCGTCCCCACGTGCTGCGTCCTTTGTGAGTTATGGTCCTCAAGGCAGCTGTTGCTGCTGTTGACTTAGCCAAGTTTCCTCTGCTTGGAATGGGGATGTTGTTCTTTAAAAATTGTTCATCGAGGAACGCCTGGGTGGTTCAGTTGGTCAAGCATCCAACTCTTGATTCTGGCTCAGGTCATGATCTCACATGAGTTCATGGTTCGAGCCCCACGTCGGGCTCTGCACGGTCAGCATGGAGCCCGCTTGGGATTCTCGCTCTCCCTCTCTCTGTGTCCCTTTCAGGCTCTCACGTGCCTGTGCATTCTCTCTCACAATAAATAAATAAACTGAAAAATAAGAAAAGATTTGCTGATCAAAGATTACACATCAGCATTTAACAAGGTTTAAGCATTTTTTTAAATATATGGTAGCCATTGCATGAGATTTAAAATCCCCCTGGGTCCCTTGCTATTGATTCTCCCAGTGATGCTTCTGGAGCAGGGATGAGAATGCCTGATGCAGAGCTCTCCCTCCCCAGGGCCTGGCCTGGCCTGGCCGTATATGGGCAAGAGGAAGATGCATTAATGGTTTACAGATATCTGTGGGACTCGCCTGTGTAAGAGGGAATTCAGCTCCAGAGAGACTCTGCATTCTTCTCCATGTGATCAGCCAAACAGAACCCAAACAGAGCAGAGATTACGGGGTCTATTCCTTTTCACCTTTTATGATTGTTTAATGCAGAACCAATATAGTGACATCTCCCATAGCAGTTTTATACGGATTTTGTTCTTCAGCAAAGATAGTTCATTCTGATAATTTTTTTTTAACCCAAGGATCGTTAACATACAGTGCCCTGTTAGTTTCGGGTGTTGGGTATAATGATTCAACAATTCTATGCATTCCTCTGCGCTCATCAAGATAGCATGCTCTTAATCTCCTTTATCTGTCTCTCTCCCCCACCCCCACCCACTTCTCTGCCGACCACCAGCTTGTTCTCTGTACTTAAGTGTCTGGTTTTTTTGTTTGTCTCTTTTTTTCTTTGTTTGCTCGTTTGTTTTGTTTCTTAAATTCCACATGAGTGAGATCATATGGCGTTTGTTTTTCTCCAGCTGACTTACTTCACTTAGCATTGTATTTTATTTTACTGTGTAGTTATGGACTCTTAGGGAATTCCAGACATCTTCTCAGAGCGGTTATGAGGATGGAGATTTCTAAGGGTCCCTAGGTCTCTCTAAGTCAGTCAGCTTGCACTGAGAGCTTTTGATTTCCCATCAGCCCTCATCCACAACATAGCCTGACACTGTGGCTATCCGTGACCAAGTAGATAATTGACACATTCTGGTTAATGCGAGTAATCCAGAACCCCGCACAGGTTTGACTTGCCTCTAATTCGTCAGACAGGTTATGCTAAAATTAAGGTGACATACAGCAGTTGTTCAAGAGACAGAGGCGTGTGGTAGCCACTTGGGGGCCTGGCCTGTGGGACCCACCACGTGTAGCGTGCAGGCTCCGTTTGCCCCCCCTTTGCACCTCCCAGCGCTCCCGCCGCAGTGGGCCCCACAGACACAGGCTGGGTTGTCTCAGCAGTCGGCTCCAGGCCCGCCCCGGGGACCCACGTGTCCCCCTGGGTATTAGCCAACGAGAGGATAGAAAGGCTGATGCTAAATGGTAAGAAAAAAACTACGAAGGAGAGAGAAATGATACCATTTACCGTGTTCTGCGGGCTGAGCCCGTATTAGTGGAGATACCCGTTGTCGGGGCACTTTCGTCCACCTCATTAACGCGCTTGTTAAGGGGCAACACCCACTCCAGTTCCAGAAGCCTGGTGTACGCGCACTAAATATTTGCTAATTAACAAATTTACCCAGATGTGTTCCTGGAGACGCCAGGGCTATTTCTGCCCTATTCTTGGATTGATAATATTTTTTAAAAGTAACGTAATGCATAAAAATAGCAGCTGGACGGAGTCTGCTGTGAGAGAGCTGAGTGCATACTTCATCCTTTCCCACAGCCCCCCCAGGGTCCCTTGCCGTGTATTTTCCCCACGGTGCTTCTGGAGCAGGGATGACAATGCCTTGCCGCAGAGCCCTCTGCTCCCGAGGCCCTGGGCAGCCCGGCCTTATATGGGCACGGGGTAGAGTTCACTCGCTCCTCGCCATGGTGACAGCCGCCATCAGAAGCCGCCTGTTACTGGATAACTTTTGGACTCTGAGCAGAAATCACAAATGTGCCGTGGATGCTGATTCCAAATGAATTCTCACATTACCGAATGAATAGGTTCAGTGTAAAGCGTGTGCAGCCTGCTTCCCCAGCCCTGGCTGGTGGGCAGTGGGTCGGCGCAGGGAGCAAGCCGTTTCTCGCAGGCAGAGCCAGCCAGCCCCGTGGGTAAACCGTTCCGGCAGCAGCCGGGGTGTCCGCCGTCCACGCGCCCTGCACCCCCCGGTCAGAGCTGGGAGGTGCAGACGGGTGCGCTAGGCCCTGGGCCCTAGTTCACACGACAGGGAAGGAGCACGTGACGTGGGAGGGGGGGGATGCCCTGCTTCAGTGCGGTCCAGAGCGCAAGTCAAGTCTTCAGGCTTCAAGGGGCAATCTCTCATGCCCGTCTTCCTGTTGCCAGATGGTACCCTACACGGAGGAGATTCTCCGCAGTTGGGAGGGAAGGACACGGGCCAAATGAGGGGGCCCTGGCCCTCTCCCCTCACGATTGGGGTGCTCCGGCCATATCTCCACCCTTCCCTTCAGTGGTTCAGTGAGCGAAACCGAACTTCAAGGAAAGAACTGGTACTTTTTTTAAAAGAGAGTGAGAGCAGAGGAGGGACAGAGAGAGAGAGAGAATCCCAAGCAGGCTCTGTGCTGTCAGGACACAGCCTGAGCCGAGATCAAGAATCAGATGCTTTACCGACTGAGCCACCCAGGTATCCCTAAATGAATCGATAATTTTTTGCTGTTTGGGGGTGTCTATTTAAAATAAACTATTGGTCACCTGGGTGGCTCAGTCGGTTGAGCGTCCAACATCAGCTCAGGTCGTGATCTCAGGGGTCATGAGTTCGAGCCCTGCATCGGGCTCTGTGCTGTCAGTGCAGAGCCTGCTTGGGATTCTCTCTCTCCCTCTGTCTCTCTGCCCCTCCCCAGCTCATGTTCTCTCTCTCTCTCTTCCTCCCTCCCTCTCTCTCTCAAAAATAAATAAACATTAAAAAAATAAAATAAAATAAATAATTGTGTATATAATTAAATTAAAGGACTAATTAAAAGGTATAAGTCCTACCTCACCAATATCGCACAGGGCAATGGGCATGATGGAAGTCGGACAACTAACTTCTCCGAGTTCTCTGCCGCTGACGGCCCTATGGTCGCCATTACAGAGCTGTCCAGCCCCCTCACCTGTCTTTAGTTGCCTTACTCTTTCTTCATATATTTTGTATTTTTCTTTTCTCTGTGGGGGGTGGAAGTCCATTGGATGGAAAGCATTAGAGTTCATTTCTGTTGCAGAACTTCCGTCAGAGCAGCGGAATGCACCGAGTGCTACGAAGGTCAACAGTATAGACAACAGTAAGGAGAGCAGGCGAGGCGTCCAGTTCAACACATAAAGACATCTTTGTCTTTGCTCGTTAACTTACCCAGAGGTTGTGAAATTCTCAGGTTTCTCCAGCTGAGGTCAGTTTGAATTCATTACTTCAGTTCCTTAGGCAGGTTTGTGTCCCCCCCACCCCACTCCCCGGCCCTTTGCCTTCAGACCGTGAACTCGGGTCAGATAGCTTATTGCAACTTTTGAATGGCATTGACCTTCGTGGGGTACCTGTTTCCCCAGAAGTCAGAAATTTTAGAAATTGGTAAATACCAAGGTGCTTTTTAGGTCCACATTGTTGGGACTTAAGGAGATGGTCAAGGGGCGCCTAGGTGGCTCAATTGGTTGGGTGGCTGACTTCGGCTCAGGTCACTATCTCACGGTTTGTGGGTTCGAGCCCCGTGTCGGGCTCTGTGCTGACAGCTCGGAGCCTGGAGCCTGTTTCAGATTCTGTGTCTCCCTCTCTCTG